GGGCCGGGGGCGCGGCGGCCCGGCCTGACGCCTCTCTGCTCAGTTCCAGCTGGCGGTGCCCGTCGCTGTGGTCTTCGCCCCCGGGTCGGTGCCCGGGGACCTGCCGAAGCCGCTGCCGTTCAGGGACGTGCAGGAGATGGAGCTTTCCGTCAACTGTGAGAGACCCCTCCGGCTGTCCCTGCCCCTTCTGCCCCTTTTGGGTGGCCTTGTCCGTCCCTGGGCGGGGTCCCTGGGCGGCTTCTCTCCTCGGGAGGTTGGCACCGGCCATCACCCCGGAGCTCCCTGCACCCCAGAGCTGCGTTCGCCAGCATCACCCTGTCTGGAGCTGGCAGCACAGGGGAGCAGTGGGCACAGCGAGGTCCCCACAGGGTGCTGCAGGGAAGAGACCCCAGGTCCCCTCCCTGGGGATCGGGGTGACGGCGGCCCTCGGAGGGTGGGGGATGCGCCCCGGGTGGCATGGGGCTGTCCTGCCTACCAGTGCAGCCCAGCTGAGGCCACATACCGCAGTGGGTCACGCAGTTGAGGTGCCCAAATGACCTTGTGGCATGTGCTACCTCGGGGCTGTCCCTTGTGCCTCAGCACCTGGCTCCTCCAAAGGTTGTGGGGGCTGGGATTAGTGGGTTCACTCAAGCTTTGTTCCCCGGCAGTGAGAACCAGCATCACGTCCCGCTACGAGATGGTCTATCGCAGCACCACGGCTCAGGAGGAGGCAGCGCTAGGTGCAGCTACCGCACAAGGTACTAGGATGAGGAACTGGGGTAACTCCGGGGGGGAGCAGCCTCCTCTTTCTGAGGCTGGTTGAGCAGAGGACTCAGATTTCTTGTGTCTCAGGGTGGGTTGGGGATTGGAGTGAAATTCCCAACCCTGCTAATGCTTCCACCTTCCCCAGAGGCTGATGCTGCTCTGCGCCCGCTGCAGGATGCCTCGTTGGGTGCTTTGACCATGTATGTGGTCCCCGAAACCTCATCTCTGCTGCCTCAGGTAGGGAGCAGCACCCTGTGGTGCCAGCCTCTGTGTACTTCACCCCTCAAAGGTGCCCTGGGGGGAGGAATCCATCCCTAGGCTGTCACAGGTTCTCTGGCGTGTTGGTGGGAGCCAGCCCTGCTCCTGGCCCTCACCCCTGCCCCTTCCCCAGGGCATCAGCGTCTACGTGGGGAAGCACCGCGGTGCCCTGGTGAGGGCTGGGGGGAGCCTGGCTGCCCTCCGCACCCGCCTCCGGCAGCTGACGCAGGTGATGTCCTTCACGGCCAGCTCTATCGCCGCTGCCCTCTCGGACCGTGTGCCCGATGGCCAGCTCGGCCCTGATGCCCGGCGGCACTTGAAATCCAGTCTGGGTACGGATGTGTGCCCTGGCCCTGTTTCCTGGCCTGGGGAAAGCCCTCCGACTCTGGGGAGAGATCCTGTTCCTGCTGTACTTGTGACATCTTGGATGTCTTCTGGGGTAACAAACCCTGGGGTCTTCCCTTTGCTCTTAGAGTTGCTCTAGGCCAGGATCTGTGCTGGGATTGCTGTGTGTTGGGGCACTGGTGCATAACCCCGCATCAGGGAGGGCCAGGGAGGAGGGGGTCAGGTCCTGCTGCTTTCGGGAGCTCTGTCATGGCCACGTGCCTGACCACAGCAGTGGCTATGGCAGTGCCTCACAGGCTGTGGGCCCATGACAGGGTACGAGATCACCTTCAGCCTGCTGAACCCCGACCCCAAGTCCCATGCCGTGGACTGGGACATCGAGGATGCCGTGAACCGCTATGTGCAGCCTGTCTTGGACAAACTGAGCCTGGTGGCCAACTTCTCTGTTGACTCGCAGGTGAGGGCTGGGAGAGGCGATGGGCAGAGCCCAGCCCTGGGCCTTGCCAGGTGTCCCGGGACGCTCTTCTCTGCCAGCAGCGTCTTTGTCGTGTGCCTGCAGATCCTGTACTATGCTGTCCTAGGAGTGACACCACGCTTTGACAAGGAGTCCTCCAGCTTCCTCCTGAGCGCTCACAGCCTCCCACACGTCATCAACCCTGTGGAGGCCCGGCTGGGTGAGCACTGAGCTCCTCACCTGGCTCTCACAGGGCTGGGTTCTGCTGAGGGAGGGGGGACAGCTGTGCCTATGGCCTGTGCCCCTTCCCTCCCTGCAGCACCGTGCCCTGCCGGCCTTGGATGGGAGCGAGGGTGATGGAGACCTGTCAGGCTGGCAGTTCTGCTCAGGGCTTGCTGTGGAAGGAGGAGGCAAGCTGTGCTCTGTCCCAGGGCGGCGCTGTCTCTATCAGCCAGGGGAGCTCTTTGACTCTGTCCTACTGCAGGCTCCAGCGCTGCCTCGCTCTACCCTGTGCTGAACTTCCTGCTGTACGTGCCAGAGCGCTCCCACTCCCCTCTCTACATCCAGGACAAGGATGGAGCCCCAGTGAGCACCAACGCCTTCCACAGCCCCCGCTGGGGTGGCATCATGGTACGGGGCTGTGGCAGTGCTGGCAGTGCTCAGACAAGACGGTGTCTCCCCATCCCCAGTGAGTGCTGGTGGCCCTGCCAGCTCCATGGCTCTGGCTGTGCCTCGCTGACTTGCTGTCCTGCAGGTTTACAACGTTGAAGCCCCTGCTTCCCCCCAAGCCTCCCTCCCGCTGCACGTGGATGTGGACATGGTGCGGGTAATGGAAGTTTTCCTGGCCCAGCTCCGGTGAGGATGTGTTCTTTGCTTCCTGGGCCTCTGTGTGATCTCCTGGCACATGTAGAAATTGGTGGGGTCAGAGCAGGTTGTACCTATGCAGCTCTTTTGCTCCTCTGTGGGCTCTGGGAGGCTGAGGGGGGCTTTTTGTGGCCTTGAAGGTGCTGACCACTGGCCAGCACTGCTCTCTGTCCAGGGGTGCTGTTGTATCTCCCATCTCCTGAGGCGGGAGGTTTGTCTTGTCCTGCCCCTTGTGCAGGAGGCCGTCAGGTGTGGGTTGAGCCCTGCCAAGACTGAATGCACCAGGGGAATGGAAGAGCAGGGAGTGCATGTGGGACTGCAGGCTTGTGATGTGGGCTGGCACCTTCCCCTCCACTCCCAGGTTACTCTTTGGGTTATCTCGGGAAGAGCTTCCCCCTGAATTCCTGCTGGAGAGCCCAGGGAGTGAGGGCCTGGCCCACTGGGAGCTGGACCGCCTGCTGTGGGCTCACACCGTGGAGAACATCGCCACCGTGTCCACCACCTTGACCTCGCTGGCCCAGCTCCTGGACAAGATCGGGAACATTGTCATCAAAGATGATGTTGCCTCTGAGGTAGGGCTGGGGCACCCTGAGGTGGGGACCGGAGGGGGCCATGTGTTGCTGTCCCTGTGCAGATCATGAGCTTTGGGGTGTTGCTGTGAGTGAGGCCCCCAGGGTGGTTCCTGTGTTTCTCCCTGGACAGGGACTGACTGTTGGTGGTGTTCCCACACAGGTGTACCGAGCAGTAGCCTCGGCGCAGAGCGCCATGGCCAAGCTGGCCACGGGCCATCTGCACTCAGCTTTCCAGGCGAGCAAGGAGGCAGTCACCTCCTCGGAGCGAGCCTTCTTTGACCCGTCCCTCCTCCATCTCCTCTACTTCCCTGATGACCAGAAATTTGCCATCTACATCCCGCTCTTCCTGCCCATGGCCGTCCCTATTCTCCTCTCCTTGGCCAAGATCGTCCGGGAGACCAGGCAGCGTAAGAAGGAGCCCACCAAGATGGACTGAGCCCCTCACAATGGTGTCCTGCCTTGGGGCTGTCCCCACCCCCTGGGGGGTGTTGTCATGGACCCATGGCCCAAGAAAGGGCCTCAGAACAGTGTCAGGGCCAGGCCTGGCAGCTTGGCATGGGTCAGCTTGGGCCAAGATGCAGGAGTGGGAAGAGAGGCTGCTCTGAGGGGTGGGAGATGCTCTCAATCTGGGTCCTGAGCCAGAGATCAGAGAGGAGGGAGGGGGCTCCCTTTGTGCACCCCCTGGCCCTGCGCTCTGTTCAGAACAAGCTGCTCTATAAATAAAGAAAAAATCCCGCTTGTGCGGGCAGTGTGTGACCTTCCTCTCCTGCTCTGCCGTTAGCCCTCTACCTGGGTGCCTGTTGCCCTACCTTCCCCTGTCCCAGCTTGCCTCCCCCTGCACCCCCTTATTACTTTTTTGGGGCCTGGCTCTTGTCTTATGGGCATTTAGCCCGAAGCACTTGTAGGGGATGTTATGGGGTTCAGCTGTTGGGGGTGGGTGGTTTATAATGGGGGGGGTGTGTGTGTGTGTGTCTTATTGATGGGTATTGGGGCAGAGCCTCCGGGGGGGTCAGTTACATCTTACTGGGGTCCAGCTCCCTTCACTATAGGCTCTGGGGAGGTGGCGATGGGCCCCCCCACCCCTTCTGGGTGTGTTCTCAGGGGTAGGTGTAGGGTTTCTTCCCCCCCCCCCCGCGGTTTTTTGGGAGGGGGCTGCTTGCCCAGAGGCTCCTGGGTTCTGCCCCCCATGCTGTGGGGA